GCCCCCCGACGACGACTGCGTGCCCCAAAATCGGCCGCAGTCGTCGTTACACTGCTAGAGGGGTCTATGACGACCTATGAGGCCGTTATGGACACGGCCGAGAAGTCTGTTGACCTCTCTGCCCTGGGCATCGAGGGACTACGGTTCCGCACGGCGCGAACCGGCGGCCGAGTCTTGGAGGTGGCTGGCGCCAACAAGGACCATAAGGCCGACGAACTGGCGGCCAAGCTGCGGGCGACGATCGGAGACGTCGCCCGCGTGTCCCGGCCGGAGCTCTGCGCAGAGATGCGTATCTCCGGCCTGGGAGATGCGGCCACCAGTCAGGCGGTGGCTGCGCAAGTGGCGAAGGTGGGGGGTTGCCCTGTGGAAGGAGTAAAGGTGGGCATTATAAATCGCCCACCTGGCCGCCAGGGCACTGTTTGGGTAAAGTGCCCGGTCTTGGCGGCCAAGAAGATCGTCGCCGCCGGCCGTTTCACGGTCGGTTGGTCGACGGTCAGGGCAACCCTCCTCGAAGCGCGGCCGCAGCGGTGCTACCGCTGCCTGGTCCCGGGCCACCTGGGAGTGCAGTGTGACTGTGGCACCGACCGCAGCGCGCTGTGCTTCCGGTGTGGCCAGCCGGGCCACAAGGCCGCGACGTGCGTGGCGGAGCCCTCCTGCGCAATCTGCGTATCGGAGGGCGTGGAAGCCGGTCATCGACTGGGACACAAAAAGTGTCCGGCGATGAACCGGCCTCCTAACAAAGGCGACAAGAAAAAGACAGGCGGGGGCAATCCTGGACCCCCTGCCTCGTCGTCTACGGCAGCCGCCGACGTGGAGGCCATGGACACCGCCCATCAATAATGGCCATAGGTGTTTCGATCCTGCAGGCGAACGTCAACCACTGTGTCGCGGCACAAGATCTTCTGATCCAGACCGCGGCGCAGTGGAAGATCGATGTAGCCATAATTGCCGAGCCGTACTACGTCCGCCCTCGCGACGATTGGGCGGGCGATCGGGACGACTCGGTGACTATCGTCACCTGGGGGCGCACGGGCCCCGCACCCTTTGACAGTACAACGAAGGGAAGCGGTTGGATCCTAGCGTCGCTGGGCGACGTTGCAGTGATCGGGGTGTACTTCGCGCCGAGCAGGAGTTTTGCCGACTTCGAGCGGTTGCTTGCCGAAGTTGGCGCTCTTGTGGCCGACGTGCACCCCACCCCTGTG